CAGGTAGTCCTTGGAACCCTACCTATTATGGCTGATCCAACCGGATCGGATTTGTACAAAAATCCCAGGATTGGCTGCAATAACAAAGGCTTAGCACCGTGATGACGTTTTAAGTTATAGGCGGTAACGATACAAACCACCCCTTTAAATCCGTCATAAATAATGGCGACGTAAGCAATAATTTAATTTAGTTATATGGGTCAGTGTTTTGCTGCATTATGTATTAAATAAATCATGCATATATTAATTCATTTCCCGTGAAATCAAGGTAATGGTTCACAGTTCAATTGTAATGCATCCCGAGAGCAAAGTTGACGACCTATATTAGACTAAGGATAACTTTTGTAAATATATATATAAAGAAACATCTTAGCACTACCCCTTCTTACTGTATTTTAATACAGCTAGATTGTAATTTTGTCCTCATCAAATATCGCATTGAATACCTCACTTATTTTTTTACCTTCTCTTAGTAAGTTATTGATATGTTGGGTCACCGTGGCAGCAAGGATTCGCACAAAGCTGCAGGTAACTCAAGGCCATTCGTAAGATAAAAAGGCAATAGGGTCAATTTGAAGCGTAAGTTCCACGAGCTCTCATAAATAAGTACTTGGAAGTTATAAATTTGTATAAATATTTATAAATTTTTATAAATTTTATGAATTATAAATTTTTTATAAATATTTTTATATAATTTTTTTATAATTTTTTTAAATATAAATAAATATATAAATAAATGAAATTTTTGTGCGTAATCCACATAAAGGATTCCGTTGTGTGCGTACAGGATAACTGTCGTTTATTTACTCAGGCATAAAATGTAGTAATGGCAAGTTATCAAGTTTCTTCCCGCAAGGAAAGTTAGGTTCAATCGGCGGGAACTAGTAGCAATATCTGAATCGAACGTTACACATGTTGTATGACTTTGATGGTCCCTGTAGAATCGCAATTTTAGTGCTCATAAATACGAAAAAACAACAGTGGATTTAACAAGTGAATCTTCCTCTTCCCATGGCAAATTTGGCCGAAACTCCTAAGCGTTTTTCATGGTTGTTATCCAGGTTTGCATGACGGAAGCACAGTTGCATTTCGGTAACTCGGTGACCTGAACATATTTGCCTCGGACACAATACTAAAGGGTCATGAATGGCCTTGGTCACCTCGTATTGCCGTTTGTAAACTGGTGGAACATTTCCTGTTGCTGGGTATATCAGTTGCCAGATATAATTCAGGTGAAAGCTACTTCACACTTTGATCGCCGTAGGTAAGTGCATTTACCATGGACAAATAAAGTTACACTACAAGAATTAACCTGCATTCATCGGGGATATTAGCAGCTTGTGTTAATATGAAGGATTATTAAGTCAGGCGACATTTACAGCTTTCTGTTGCATACCGCATCGTGACTATGAAATTATCACGCTAACATTCCAAGAGAAATCTCGAGTATTACCATTTTCTACTGCATCGTTTGGGTGTCCAATTGGTATTGCTTGTTGTTATTTGTTTACGCGCAAATTGATACATTCGTGTTTACGTTGTAGGCGCTTCTCACACAGTGGGACTTCATGGGAAGTTAAATGCGTGCGAGAACTTCGATATTGTCGATATGTAGCGAATCACTAGCGGTTGTTTAGCTGATTACATGTAGTATTGCTTCATTTCCACACGTAAGCAGACCCGTTTTGTATCTGTTTAATTTATCAGCTCAAACTAATCGTACTATTGTGATCGGAATAATTGAGACTGCTTGGCGATCAACTGCACGTTACTGATAGTTGCATCTACTGTTGTAATAGCTTATGAGGATTTCCATTCCTCCCCAGCAATGCTCTCTTTTAGCAACACATGTGTGTTATAATAAAAATTGGCCGAATAAAGTCACTAGGGTAACTCGGTCTTATTTTCAAGCAGGCTTAAACGAATACCCATTTCCGCTGAAAAACATAATAGTAATCAAGTGACAAGATTTTGCAAGCGCTAATTTCCTTTTCAATGAAGTATGGACCAAAGCGAATGACTGCTAAATGCATTCTTGGAATGCTCATTCTAGAATTTGTCATCACTAACTTAGATATTCAACAGGATTTTCGGGTTTGGCACTTGCATATGAAGAGAAAATGTCCAGTGTTCTGACGGAGCCTATTCTTTGAACGGCTACATAAAAACATAACGCTGTTAGATTGGAACTTAAACTGTGTGCGGTTCTCATAAGTTGTCCATATGCCGATTTATTAAGGTCGAAATGCAATGCGCGGTAACCTGTAAGCGGATGCATCTGTGGCGCTATATTCAATTGTAATTATAAACGTTCTAAAAGATTGATTGACGTTATTTGCGTTAGATAAATGTATAATTTCCGCTCTTTACTACTCAGAACATTCTGATAAAGTTATACTTTCTTAATCAGTTGGATGATGCATCCACTCGCGTTATGTTAATGGCATCTAATTTAATTAGATAGAGGTTTTTCTCTGTCATTAGATTCGGCCGTATAATTATCGTCGTTGCCATGCAGTAAATGCGTGCAGCTCAAGGAATGAGCAAGTTACTCACATAGGACAGTAATACTTAATCTAAATAAGCCGAGTCCGTATAGTTACCAAAACATAAATCTTTATTAACCAAATTCTCTAAACCAACTCAATTTCCTTGGCCCAGTGTTCAGTTTAAAGAATAGGATCTGTAGAATTTATTGGTAAATTCCGTAATGCCTTTTCTTTCCAATAGAACTTATGTTGCGACATAATATACCAATTTCGGAGACTTATTCAACGGAGGTTTATTCTGCGTGTGAAAACATGATGCTGTTTTACTCAAAAATTTACTCACTTTCGCAAGTGAAACAAATAAATATTCTCACAAACCAACAACAAGTTTGCGAGAGATCGTTGCTCTATTGGAAATTGTTAAAGGGACTTTGATAGATCATTCAAAAATTAGTGAAAACACATAAGTTGTCAAAACTAATCGCTCTGTGTTCCGGATGAGACACGTAACACTTATATGGAGCAGGATTTATTTTGTTCTAAATTGTGGTCTTTTCGTCCACCTGGATCACATGTTCAAAAACTAATCGTAATCTTTAGTTAGTTGTCAGAGCCTAAATTTGATTTTATAAAAAGCTGGTGAAAAATTTATTTGGGTTACATTAATAAATGTTTGGTCGGTATTTGGGGAAACCAGCAACTATTTTTCAGTCTTTGTCAACAAAGTGAACGCTTTAATCCCCTTTTCTATTATGTCATAGGAACGTGATTTTGCATAATAGAGGCTATAAGTGATAGTCCGTGTATCCAGGTTCACGCTTGTTACGCTTTCGCTGCATAATCCAGTGATTTGAAGCGAGTAATCGCCTGTAACTTGCTAATCATAAACAAGAAACAATGTGTCTTCGTGATATCACAATGGGTTCGATCTGCTGAAGTATGATGGGATTATACCTAGAAGTCACGGTTTCAAAGAGGTTTTCGAAAAATCAGTAGTTTATATGCCTAAATACATTCCCCAAACCACTTTTTACAAAACATGCAAGATTAGTGACAAAAGCGCTCTCAGGAACGAGCAGGAGAAGCAAAAGTCTTCAATTCTCTTAACTTCCCAATAGTTGTCGTTGTCTCACCATCATTGGAAAGCTTGTGCGTGAGTGTTCCCTGGTCATTCAGCAAGAAGGGAGGAACGATTGCGATGAATGGTCACAGCTACACTGAGCTTGAGAATTATAGCTTTTCTACTGCGTTAGATAACAGCAAATGCCAAGTCAGATTCAGTCTGTTGGCTTGTACTGCGTGGTTATTAAGTGATGCGGCTGTCAGTATTAGAATTGAAAACTTTTGGCTTTGCTGGCTCATTTAGAAAAGTAACGAGTTTTAGATTTGTGGAAATTGAAGACAATGAAATATTGAAAACAGGCTGGAATAATCAAATTGTTACTATTTTTACCGTTTAAAGTGATCGGTGTTTGGTTTAAATCGGAAGTGCTACCTTTCTACCAATTGATGAAGATTGAGATGGTCGGTATTGAACTCATTCCAGCTTCAAAGGAAGTACAATCTTTAAACTGAGAACAATGTCATCAATATTACTAGCAAACGTTATTCAGTTAACTTTTTTGTAACTGTTGAAGACAACTAAGCAAGTATGTTTCAGACATTCTGGGCTGTTTTCGCATAAAATTAGGCCCAATTTGAAGACGAGTTTGTCACCATGCAAACAAAGTCTGATGGAAGCGCTATCGGCCACACATTACTGCACAAATTGTACCAGCTTACCCTAGGGCCGAACTTGACGGCGTCATAAAATTGCACAGACAGCTTTTGCCTAATATTAATTAAATCTACATACTGTCATAGTTCTTCCAAAGGCGCTTTGATGAACAACAAGTCCCCACTATGTGGAAGTGTGGCATTATCAACAACCTTTAAGGTGGTAGCCGTTCAGATCCTACAAACTATCGTCCAGTGATTCTCCTCCCTGTGCCCGCGAAGGGATTGGAAACAGTCGTCGCTGAGGCTTTAACAAACTACCTGAAAAAATGCAATATCTTGGTACCGGAGCAGCATGGCTTCCGTCAA